TTCTGACAATGACCCGTGCCAGATGCTCCAGAGGGAGTGAACAGAAATGATCCATCCCTTATCTTCCCAGCCCAGCTTCTGGTAATTGGAGGTTTAGGGCCAGCTGGAGCATGGAGGTGCGTCCCTGACCATCTAATAGCCATTGATGGATCTATCCTTCATGAACTTATCTGATTCTTTTTTGAGCCGATTTATACTTTGGCCTTCACAGCATCCCCTGGCAATGAGTTCCACAGGTTGACTGTGCGTTGTGTGAAGAAGTACTTCCTTTTGTTTGTTTTAAACACGCTGCCTATGGGATGCTTGGGGTGGCAAAATACATAGAGCCGCCCCTGTTTGTAACGTTTCACAATCGGCTTTGGACTTACTGTCTTGAGTAATTTTGTATCACCTGCAAATTTTTCCACCTCACTGTTTACCCTCTTTTCCAAATCATGAATAAATATGTTGAACAGCACATGTCCCAGTACAGATCCTTCAGAGACCCTGCTATTTACCTCTCTCCATTGTGAAAACTGACCATTTATTCCTACCCTTTGTTTCCTATCTTTCCACCAGTTACTGATCCATGAGAAGACCTTCCCTTTTGTCCCATGACTGCTTAGTTTGCTTAAGAGCCTTTGGTGAGGGACCTTTCAAAAGCTTTCTGGAAGTCCAGGTACACTATACTGATTGGATCACCCTTGTCCACATGCTTGTTGGCACCCTCGAAGAATTCTAAGTGATTGGTGAGGCATGATTTCCCTTTACAAAAGCCGTGTTGACTCTTCCCCAATATATTGTGTTCATCTATGTGTCTGATAATTCTGTTCTTTACTATAGTTTCAACCAGTTTGCCTGGTACTGAAGTTAGGCTCGCTGGCCTGTAATTGCCAGGATCGCCTCTGGAGTCTTTTTTAAAAATTGGTGTTACATTAGCTATCTTCCAATCATCTGGTACAGAGGCCAAGTTAAGCGATAGGCTACATACCACAGTTAGTAATTATGCCTTCCAAGGGGAGTAGGGGGGGCAAAAAACCAACCTGTTTTAAGACTGAGCGTGATCAATTTATGGAGGGGGAACGTATGATGAGATTTCCTACAGTGGCGTATGGCCCATCAGCAACTGTTATTAGCAAATATCCCCAACGGCCAGAAATGGAACAGTAGATGGGGAGGCTCTGAGTTACTGCAGAGAATTCTTTCCCAGGTGTCTGGCTGGTGGGTCTTGCTCACATGTTCAGAGTCTAACTGATCGCCATATTTGGGGTTGGGAAGGAACTTTCCCCCAGGTCAGGTTGGCAGAGACCCTGGGGTTTTTTCCTCCTTCCTTTGCAGCTTGGGGCATGAGTCACTTGCTGGTCTGAACTAGAGTAAATGGTGGAGTCTCTGTAATTTGAAGTCTTTAAATCAAGATTTGAGGACGTCAGTAACTCAGCCAGAGGTTATGGGCCTATTACAGAAGTGGGTGAGTGAGGTTCTGTGGCCGGCAATGTGCAGGAGGTCAGACTAGATGATCATGATGGTCCCTTCTGGCTTTAAAGTCTATGAGTCTAGGAGAATTTCATATTTGAGTTCCTTCAGAACTCTTGGGTGCACACCATCTGGTCCTGGTGACTTATTGCTGTTTAATTGATCTATTTGTTCCCCAAACCTCCTCTATTGACACCTCAGTTTGGGACAGTTCTGATTTGTCATCTAAAAAGACTGCCTCGGGTATGGGGCTCTCCCTTGAATCCTCTGCAATGGAGACCGATGCAACAAATTCATTTAGCGTCTGCACAGCAGTCTTGCTTTGCCTGAATGTTCCTTTAGCATCTCAGTCATCCAGTGGCCCCACAACTGTTTGGCAGGCTTCCCGCTTCTGATGTACTTACAAAAAATTGCGGTTAGTTTTTGTGTCTTTAGCTCGTGGCTCTTCAAATTCTTTCTTAGCCTGCCTTATTATAGTTGACTTGCCAGAGTTTATGCTCCAGGTAGCAGCAGGTAACATTTCAACCTAGGTCTCTCTGTGTCCGCATCCATCTGACTCAGCCGCAGCTTGCATGTCAGAGCCAAACTGGGTGACAATCTAAAGAATTATCACCTGCAAACCGAAAAAAAAAGGCAGCCAGCCAAGGTCAGATTCAGCCAAGACTTCGCCATTAATTCCTGAAATCTCTTCCACCTTTGACAGCTGAGTGTTTGTGATTCCCAGGCCCGTCCTGGTTGCAGTGAGGGATGAGGATATTTGAATGAACTGAGGCTCCCAGCATCCTCTGGGAGTCTGTGTTGAGGCTCCCAGCATCCTCCAGGGCTCAGTGCTGAACCTCTCTGCATCATAGATTCATAGAGTATAAGGTCAGAAAGGAGCATTAAATCATCAAGTCTGACCGCCTATATATGACAGGCTGTTACATTCCACCTTTCGAGCCCAGTGACTTGTGCTTGGCTAAAGCATCTCTTTCAGAATCTCTGCCGGCTTGATTTGAAGACATCAAGAGATGGAGACTCCACCACTTCCCTTGGTAGCTCGTTCAGTGGTCTATCACCCTCGCTGTTAACAATTTGCGTCTTATTTCCAATTTGAATTTGTCGGGCATCAGCTTCTAACCATTGGTGTTTGTCCTGCCTTTCTCCGCTAGATTATAGAGCCCATTAGTACCTGGTGTTTTCTCCCCATGAAGGTGCCGGATCCACCAGAATCAAGTCACCCCTCAATCTCCTTTTTGATAAACTAACCAGGTTGGGCCTGTTGAGTCACGGTCAGATGTTTTCTCCAGCCCTCGCACCACTGCTGTGACTCTTTTCTGCACCTTCTCCACTTTTTCAACATCCTTTTAAAAATGTGGATACCAGACCTGGACACAGTATCCCAGTATTGGTCTCACCAAGGGCGGGTCCAGAGGTACAATCACCTCTCTCTTCCCACTCACTACTCCCCTGTTTATACAGCCAAGGATCACGTTAGCCCTTCTTGCTACAGCATCGCACTGGGAATTCTCGATGAGTTGTTTGAGATACAGTGCCCCTTGAACATCCTCTGGGCGTTTGCAGTGAAACTCCCAGCATCCTCCATGGCTCTGTGCTGTGACTCCCAGCATCCTCTTACTCCTGAGGGCATTCTGCGCCAAAAAATAAAAATTCTGCGCACAATATTTAAAAATTCTGCACACAATATTTAAAAATTCTGCAAAATTCTGCAAATTGTATTTGTCAAATAAATGTGGAGGCTCCAGCATGGCATTGGGGAGCACAGGCCACTGGCTGCACAGAGATGGGAGATCACTATGCAGCTCCCCCCGGCACACGGACTCAGTGGTGAGGCTGCACCTGGCCCTGATACAGCGCAAGGATTGGGCCTGCCCAGAAACACCCCAGGACCCTGCCCCTCCATGCCAGGTGCACCAGGTTGTGGGCAGGCAGGCTCAGTAAGGCAGGATCCAAGTGTGGAGGGGCTTAGGGTGGGGGATCCAGGTGTGGGTTGAGAGGGTTCTGTGTGGGGCAATCTGGGTGCAGGTGGCTCAGAGGGGATCCGGGTGCAGGGGGGATCTGGATGCACAGGGCCTTTTTGGGGTGTTCTGGGTGCAACAGTAATGAGACTCTGCAGGGGGTCCAGGTGAAGGTGGTTGGGGCTCAGCGGGGGGATAGACCTCAGCAGAGGGGTCTGGATATGGGGGGCTCAGTGGGGCATCCAGATGTTGGGAGAGTGGGGCTTAGTGGGGTAGGGATCCAGGTGCAGCTGGTTGGAGCTTGGTGTGGTGGGGATCTGGGTGCAGGTGGCTCATTGGGGTGGTCCAGGTGCAGGGGGAGTGGAGCTCGGCGGGGCGGGGGTTCTGAGTGAGGGGGTGAGGCTCGGCGGGAGGGTCTGGGTATGAGGGTGTCTGGATGCACGGGGATTGGGCGGATGGGGGAGCTGCTTCCTGTACACTCCCCCTGCAGCTGAGGAACGATGGGTGCAGGAAGCGTGGGGGGCAGGAGAGAAGTTTGCAGAGCTTCCTGCAGCCGGGAGAGAAATCTGGAGGTGGGTGTGACCCGGCCCCAGATACCATGGAGGTGAAGAGGAAGTACCATCCTCCCCAGCCCAGCCGGGACTAGCAGCTGAGCCCGGTGCAGGGTAGGAACCACCAGCCGGGTCTTTCCCAGTTGTGCCCCCTGCCCCAGAGTGATTTATCTCTCTGCTGGCTGCTCTGGGCACCCGAAACATACTGCTGGGAAGGGTCGTATCACCGCTCTTGTGGATTCCTTTAGCTTCCCTGTCAGAAAGTCTGCGGGGAAGCAAAGAAATCTGCAGGGGACATAAATTCTGTGCATGCACAGTGGTGCAGAATTCCCCCAGGAGTAATCCTCTGGGCCTTTGCAGTAATACTCCCAGGATCCTCCACAGCTCTGTGCTGTGACTCCCAGCATTCTTCATGCATCTGCTGAAGCAGGTCTGTGAGGAGGCAGCTTCCTCATTCCCTTTGGGCTTTCCCTGCTCTTCCTGTCCTGTGATGATAGGGTGACCAGATGTCCCGATTTTATAGGGACAGTCCCGATATTTGGGGCTTTGTCTTATATAGGTGCCAATTACCCTCCACCCCCGTCCCGATTTTTCACACTTCCTATCTGGTCACCCTATGTGATGAATCCAAGAGGCCTGAATTTCTGTTGCCCAAAGCAGGACAATCCAGGCCAAACTGACTCTGTGGTTTCATTGTGTGAATGCCTTTGGCCCAGAGCAGCAGATCCCTGACTCCAATGCTAATCAACACCCTGTCCCTGACTCACCCTCCTCTTTGCAGCCAGTCAGCCCCTAGCATGCTCCCTAACATAGCCCTGCACCAGAGGCCACACAAGACAATCGGCTAGGCTAGGCAAAACTTCAGCGTGCCACCCCCCACTACTGCCTTAGAACAGCAATGCAAGGGCGCCGGAAGGATCGCAAAGTACGTGGGAGGCTACTGGGGGGGCGATCCCATGCTCCAGGTCACAATGCTGCTCACTCAAATTTGGTCTGGCCGCCCCTCCGTCATGACGGAGGGGCAGCTGGTGATGGAGGGGCACGTGGGACAAATGTGAGTGAGTGGCATTGCGACCTGGCGCACGGGGCTGAAACCCCACTCAGATATAGCCTGGCCGCCCCTCTGTCATGCTGGCAAGGAAGGGGCTCTGTCATTACAACCCCCAGAGGCACCGATTGCTTCTCCCAGAAATCCGCTGCTCTAGGAGCCTGCTGTCCTAGGCAGCTGCCTAGTTTGTCTCTGGGTAGAGCGGCCCCTGCTCATCTATCTAGGTATTTGTCTGGCCCTCATCACAGTAGCATCGGACCTCCACGCAGTCCGTAATGAATTGATCCTGTGCGGGAGGGAAGTCCCATATCCTCCATTATTCCAGAGGTTATGTCTACACTAGAGCTGCGGGTGTAACCTCCAGCTCAAGGAGATGTATCGGCGCTAGCTCAGCCAGAGCTTGCGTGCCAGAAATACCATAGCCGTGGTGGTGAGATAAACCAGCTGCCCCAAGTACCATCCCTTCTAAGGCCCTTGATATTGCCCGGAGGTGGTTAGCCCATCCTGCTGCTCACGCCACCGCTAACTGTAGTGTGCCAGCTCTCCACCCAAGCTGGGACTGACACCTCCAGCTCTTGTGGAGACATGCCCAGAGATGGGGCAGTCAGAGACTAAGGGGCAGATTTTGAGCATTGGGCATTTGTGGCAGAACCAGGAACTGGACACACACATCTTGCGCCCTACTGTGGATCCCTATGCACGGGAGCCGTCCTCCCTCCCCAAAGAGCAGGTTATTATTATCCAGCTCCTCGAAGGTATCGAGGCTCTAACTTCCA